CTAATTAATGCCTTCAATTCAACATTCAAGTTCAACAATTAAGTTGTGTTTCAACTTTGTTGTCCAAATTAACATATTTTTATGTCATGATGCAGAAGTTACATCTGTGCAGACTTCATCTGTACTTGACTTGAAGAAGTTTGACACTTCTGCCTCAATGAATCTCAAACCCCCGCCTATTGATCGTCATAAATCATTTGATAACAACGAATTCTCAATTAACTCCCCTATTGTCAAGAAGACTGTGACACCTCCTGCAGATGTGCAATCATATTCTATAGCTGATCTTCAGATTACTACTGGCAGCTTCAGTATGGATCATCTCGTTGGTGAGGGGTCTTTTGGGCGTGTGTACCGTGCTCAATTTGATGATGGAAAGGTATTTCTTAGCCGTTATTCATGCAATTTAACTCTATGTTTGATTCCAATAGCAAATATTCATATTGCCAGAAGAGTTGTATCAAGATATTATGTAAATTTCATGGGAAGGGATCAAATCTTAACAATATCATTACACATACATGTGGATGCATGCATATTTTTATAGAAATAAGGTTCTTTGTTTTAACATCTTTGTAGTCTCTTGATCCCGGGAAAAAAAACAAAGAATCAGGGAAATCCATGTGGACATATTGACATACCGACGTAGCTAATGTGATCTCAATATATTGACTTGAATCATTGCATACGCTTAAAAATTATTAATGGTTTTAACTTTGTTTTTAAAACTTTTGTAGGTTCTTGCAGTGAAGAAAATAGATTCATCTGTCATTCCCAATGATTTTACAGAAGATTTCATAGAAATAGTGTCAAACATCTCCCATTTACACCATCCAAATGTAACAGAGCTTGTAGGTTATTGCTCAGAGCATGGACAGCACCTCTTAGCTTACGAGTTTCATAAAAATGGATCACTGCATGACTTCCTTCACGTGTCTGATGAATTCAGTAAACCATTGATATGGAATTCCCGTGTCAAGATAGCTTTGGGGACAGCACGCGCTTTAGAGTAAGTTAGTTGTGAAACTAATGGGATACGAAGATCCTATCTAATGGAGAATTTTGTCATCATTGCATAATTATTATTTTAATCTTGTAAATCCAGGTTTTCCATCAATTTATCAACTCATTCCTATATCTCTTGCGCCTTTATACATAGCATACATGTTAACATGAGGACTTTTATGGCCTGACCGGTTTTATATTTATCTTCTGTGTAACCTGCTATGTTTTCCTATTTAAAAAGTGTTGTCTTGATTGTTACTATATCTAGTGCTCAAATTTGGAAATGTAAAAGTAGGAAGAATAGTTTGGACTGTAAAGTATGAAATTTATCTGCTATCACCTTTAAAATCAATCAACAATAGAAAATTGCTGCTTCACTTAAGCAATCAATGCATTTGACTTAACAATTGATTTTAAATATATGGCCACATATGGTTGGACATAAAGCATTGATCTATGTTTTGCTTGAGAGCTGAGACTTCGAACTGGACTTAACCACAATTTTTGTTCTAGGTACCTGCATGAAGTTTGTTCTCCATCAGTTGTGCATAAGAATATTAAGTCAGCCAATATATTACTTGATACAGAGCTTAATCCTCATCTTTCAGACTGTGGATTGGCAAGCTACATTCCAAATGCAGAGCAGGTGATTTTATAGTTTACGGACCTTTATAATTGGCTGTGGTTGTGTTTGACCTTGCTAGTTTTCTACATATTTGTAGGCTTTGTTGAGCGTATCAGCTGGTTAATCTGAATTGTTGCTAATCTCCTTGAACTCTTGTACATCATGTATGCTGCCTAAAATGCTAAGTTATGCCCAATTTTCAAAAACCCATCTAGGGATTGAAGTATGGTTCACAATTCATTGAGTCAAATGTAATTTAAGTGGCTAAACTAGTAATTAATTAATAATCAAAACAATAGCCAAAATCAAGATTATACAGAAATAGCAGGCAAACGGGCAACAAGCTGCGCCATTACCCCTTTTTGGATGACAAAACCAATCCTCTTAAAAACTACATTCATTGTCCTAGGTGACACAACATTGCTATGCATGAACCTTTGCATTCTCTGTAAAGATCCATTGCTTCTGATAATAACAAAAAAATCAAGATATGTAAAATTAATAGCAATAAACTAGATAATAGCCATCAATAAGTAAAACTTATACATTTGTATTTTTGTGTTAAAATGTTTTAGATAAAGGCTGTAACCTTTTTTGTCATTGATTGTAACATTTATTTAAGTATACAAAGGTTCTAGTTGAGCATCTAATATGTTTTATGAATGGTAAATTACCCTGGTTGATTTCTCAAGTTATGAGTAGCTTTGACAAACTTGGGCTTATAATTTTTTTTAAGTGTTGATAACCATATGAATGCAGAAAATTTTCTTATTATGAATTATGAATGATAAGAAAAGTGTGCTAGTTGGGTTCTTGATTGGGAAAAATCATTTTACGTGCTAACTTCTAACTTTAAAATCTAACAAGGTAAACCGTGTAGTACCCTAGGGTTCTAACTAGCTTACCAAAGAAAAAAACTGTGTAGTACCCTAGGGTTCTAACTAGCTTACCAAAGAAAAAAACTGTGTAGTACCCTAGGGTTCTAACTAGTTTACCAAAGAAAAAAAACTGCATGCGTGAGATTCCATTGGATGTATATTATGATTGTTTTGCACTTCAGTTGGAATGTCGATCATGCTCTTTATCCCGTGTTATTAAGTTTACTGAATTGTTGAATTAATAACTTTGTTATGTTCAGATACTAAACCATAATGTTGGATCTGGATATGATGCCCCTGAAGTTGCATTATCCGGTCAGTATACCTTTAAAAGTGATATCTACAGCTTTGGGGTTGTCATGTTGGAGCTTCTCAGTGGCCGCAAACCATTTGATAGGTAAGAATTAAAATATCGATCCTGCAGAGTTCGAAGTTACAGATAATACAATATTATGGGGTGATGATTGTTAAGTCATTTTGTAACAGCTCAAGAGCAAGACCAGACCAGTCTTTGGTTCGATGGGCAACGCCCCAGCTTCATGACATTGATGCGTTGGCTAAAATGGTTGATCCAGCACTGAAAGGGCTATATCCTGTTAAATCTCTGTCACGATTTGCTGATGTTATTGCTCTTTGCGCACAGGTATTGTTTGATATCTCCATTAGTATAGAAAATATTTGTCTGTAAATGCATTCTAATTTATATTTTTTTTTTTTGGGACAGCCGGAACCTGAATTCCGACCACCAATGTCAGAGGTGGTCCAAGCACTTGTACGATTAGTGCAGCGAGCCAACATGAGCAGGCGGACAACATTTGGAAGTGATCATGGAGGATCTCTACGAGGAAGTGATGATCCAGCTATACGAGACGTCCAAATCGGAACATAATCCTTCTTTTGTATTACTACAATGTCCCCAAAGCTAATGTTGTACTCACATTTTTTCCTCTTTCTGTTTTTCTAACCCCTCAATCTATACGTCTTTCTAAGTTAGATTGGTTGCATCATTTATTAAGCAATCTAGACAAAGGGTGTTGCATGATATTTGAGTAACTAAGTATTTGTAATTTTGTAATATAAAGTCAAGGTTGCAGTCACCAAAAAAGAGTCGAAGGTTGCAAAGTTGAAACTCAGTTTAGGTTGATGTTACTATATTCTGTTTATGATAACTAATAATGATCTTTAAAAAAGAGAGACAACTACTCCGGAGGTTCTTTGTTCAATTTAAAGCGTTGGTGTCATTCTTTAATTTTTTTAACATGATTTTCAAGTGTTCAAATCTACACTTGGTTGAACATTGAACCCCTGAAAATAGAGAGGAGTGTTTTAGAGAGTTACGGAGTATAAAATTTGTTGGAGAGAAATCTATTATCTATCTATCAAAATAAAAATACTTGGAAAAACCACAATTAGCCTTTTGATTATATAGTTAAACAGTTCTAATTCCAAGGTTAAAAATGACTTATTACAATTTTGTTTTACGATCTCACATTTATTATTATATATGTGTTACTCTATCAATTCTTTTTAATTTTTTTAAATCTCTAAAATTTTAAATCTAAGTGATTATTAATTTATGTGAGAAACATAATTTGCAATTAATTAGGCAATGAAAAGTCACAGGAAAATGAGATACACCGTAGCTCTTTCTCTTTAATCATCATAACCCTTCTACACCTTTTTCATCACACTGTTGATTTCCTTCCCTATTTTAAGATCAATTCCTCCATCAAATATTTCGTCACCGCGGCTCTGATCTATGTATTGTTATTGTTTAAAAGCTTTTTAGATTTCTATTTTCTTCGAGTTCCTATCACAAATATTTTCACGTAATTTAGATTTGTTCTTCTTTCTTTTAGATTTGATTAAGATTATCATTTTTGCATCTTAATATTATTGTTAATATTATTTTTGTCTCGGTTTATGCATTGTGCGGTGGTGGATCGCTAGAAAAAACGAAGGTTCAATGATATAGGTGAATGACTTGTTATCTCCTCTAGTTTTGTTTTTAGTTTACGATATTTTGAAATTTGATTATTGAGTTTCTATGAATTTGGTGGGATCTTCATCTTTTACATTGAGCCAAGTACTCTCTTGAATTTGTCAATCCCAAGTGTGACAAGTAAGTATGTGGAATCCCGAGGTATTAATGTTTTTGATTAGTTTTGAAGGATATTCAACTAACCTGGAAGGATTCCATAATTTGTATGGTATTTAATTCGAGATTGGTGTGTTGTCGGCGACTTCAACGCCATCTCGAGATCTTTTGAAAGTCGATGAGCGTCTTATTTTTGAAAATCTTATTTGTTGTTGGAATATATCCGGTCAATTTGTTGGGAGTAAAGTTATTTTTTATCACTGCCCAACCATGATCAAAGCTAATAATTTGAATTGGGATCCAAAACCCCTTTAAATTCTTCTTTACTTGGTCTAAACACCCAGATTTTCTTTCGGTTGTGAGCGAAGCATGGAATTCAGCGAGTGTCCAAGGTATGAAGATGTTCGTTTTTGAAGAGAAATTGAAGGCTTGGCAAATTGAATTTAGATGTGGTCGAGCCTGTGGAAGATTTGGTGATACGGGTTCAGAGCCCCCTTCAAACCAAAATTCTGCTATTGGGCCTAATGAGGTTGGAGGCCCAGTGTTGAGAAAGAGTCAAAGGGCTAGAAAGCAATCCATTTGGATGCAAGACTTTGCCTAAGTGAAATTTCTACAGTGTTGCCGTCACTTTCTGTTTTACTTTTTACCTTTTCATTTTAATTATGTACTAGAAGCTTCCACTTGTATTGATCATGTAGCAGCTATCATGTGATCCAAAAATCTAGGGAATTTGTTAGAATGATTTCCATTTCCTCATAAAACAACAATCGGTTGCATCCAAGAAACATTTGATTCTGTTTGACATGCAATCGGTTGTCGTCTGGCAGCAATCGGTTGTCATGTGTTTTAGTTTCAAATTTTTTGAACGTTGGCTTTAGAGCAACCGATTGCTCCTCAATGACAATCGGTTGTCCTAGTTATAATTTTCAATTTTTTTTAAATCGTTGCTATGCTGCAATCGCTTGCTGCTCTGGTGCAATTGGTTGTTATGCCTTAAATTTTGAAAATTTTAATTTTTCCAGCAACCTTTGGTAACACCTTTTCATGGCAATGCTTGTATCTTTTCATATACATTGTTTTAGTAAAAATGGTCTAAACATTATTATGTTTCATTGAAAAGGCATTACTACACTATAAATTATTTTCTCTTTAGAATTTTGAAAATCAATAAAAAATAAATCAAAAAGAATCAATCACAAAAATCTAACAACTTTCTTATTTTTGATTATACTCTTTATACTCAAGATCTTATTCATCATTTTCATATGCATTCTGAAAATTGTTCTTGAGCACTTAGAAGAGTATTCCATCTTAAATTTCATATTGATAAGAAAAGATCAATCAAGTGATTGACATTGCTCTTACACTTTCAAATTCTTATACAAAATCAAACAAACTATTGTACTTTTTTTCAGGATTGTTGGAAACAAGAAAGACACTTAGGGAGGATTGTTCTCTTTGTGGTCTTAGTAAAAATCCAAGAGGATTGTTCTTGGCTTGTTAGGTAGTCTTGTACAAATTACCAACAATAAGAAAATCTCTTTCATGTTGAAAGGGGACTGGAGTACTTTCAGACTGTGAGGGGAACCAGGATACATCATTGTGTTCTTTACTTTCCGCATTTACTGCTTTCATCACTTATCACAAAAAGAAAGAAAAGAAACACTTGCAAAAATATTCATACAATTCAGAAAAATTTTAAAGAACCTAATTCACCCCCCCTCTTAGGCGCATCTGAACTTACAATTGGCATCAGAGCAGGTTATAGGTAACTTGTTCCTATTAGATCCAGAATGGCTTCCGCAAACAACAATTATGTGTTCAGAGACGGTGGCAGTAGCAACAAGCCTCCTCTATTCTGTGGTGAATATTTTGATTTCTGGAAGATCTGTATGAAAGCTCATCTAGAAGCACAAGGAGAAGAAATATGGGATGCTGTCCAAAATGGTCCTTTTATTCCGGTAACTATTGTAAACGGCGTTGGTTCATCAAAACCTAAAACTATATGGGATGATGATGATAAGAAAAAGGTCTTGTATGACAAAAGGCAATAAACCTCCTTCAAAGCGCACTTAGTATGGATGAATTCTTCTGTGTCTCAGCATGTACAACGGAAAAAGAGATTTGGGATACATTGGTTGAAACACATGAAGGAACAACTGAAGTTAAGAGATCGTGACTTAATACATTTAGTCAAGAATATGAATTGTTTCGCATGCAACCCGGAGAATCCATTCTTGATTTACAAAAGAGATTTGTGCATCTAACAAATCATCTAAGGGCACTTGGCAAAACATTGACTAATGATGAATTGAATCTAAAAGTGCTCATATCCTTGACTAGAGAATGGCAACCAAAGGTAACAACAATCTCAGAAAAGAAGAGTCTCGCTACTATGACATCCGCAACCTTGTTCGGAAAACTTCAAGAATACGAGACAGAACTTGGTAGATTGGAAAAGCGTGAAAATCAAGAAAAGAAGTCTAAGAACATTGCCTTGAAGATTGACTCCAAGGAAGACGAAAAGAAAGATAATCCTGATGAAGATGAAAACTTCATGCTTCTCGTTAGAAGACTTTGAAAATTCTTTGGTAAAAATGACAAAGCCTTCTCTCACTCAAAGAAGAAGAAACACTTCAAGAAGAAGGAAAGATCCTCGTCAACACAAGAAGTTACTTGTTATGAATGTGGTAAACAAGGTCACATCAAACCGGACTGTCCAAAACTTTCAAAGAAAAATGGCTACAAAGGCAAGAAGGAATCAAAAGATAAGAAAGCATATGTTGCATGGGAAGATGTTGAACTAAGTTCGTCATCCGACTCCGATAGCGACGAAAGTGCCAATCTTGCATTAATGGCATCACACCACTCCGAAAGCGAAGATGATGAGGTTAGTAACATATTCTCTCTTTTTGATAGTGATGCACAAGGTGCTATAAATGAACTGTTAAGTGAATGTAAAATTTTGTACAAAACTATCTCATCACAAACGAAACAAATTTCATTGTTGGAAGAAAAATGTAGATCTATTGAAAAAGATCTCAAAGATGAAAAGCAAAAAATTAGTGATGAAAAACAGAATTTTGTATGCACAAAATGTGAATCTCTCTCTTTCCAAATTGTCCAATTAAAAAGGGTTATTGAAATGTATGAAAAAGGACAAATTGGATTGGAAGGTGTTCTTAGCCAACAAAGATACTCAAATGACAAAAGTGGTCTTGGATACTCAAAATTTTCAAAACCAAGTACCAACAAGACCATCTTTGTCAAGGCTAGCGATCAACCAACCAAAGAGAAATAAATCACTCCAAAAATGGTTCGTCACTATCCTAAAAAGAAAATACCCCCTAAGAAGAAATCTTATCCTTCTAGATATAGAAGTAAATTTGAACCTACTTGTTTTTATTGTGGTATTCGAGGACACACACCTAATGCTTGTTATGTTAGAAACTTTGGCATAACAAATGGGCATTATGTGTGGGTTAAGAAAGGAACTAATTATGAAGGACCCAAAGCAACTTGGGTACCTAACAAAACCTAATCCTGTTTTATAGGTAAGCTTGACGACCAATTCAAATCTATGGTATCTCGATAGTGGTTGTTCCAAGCATATGACGGGAGATATCGACAAATTTTCACATCTAACGCTTAAGGCCAAGGGTTATGTGACGTATGGAGATAACAATAAAGGAAAGATTCTTGGAATAGGCAAAATTGGTGGTCCACCTTTCACATCAATTGAAGATGTTCTTTATGTCGAAGGACTAAAGCACAATCTTCTAAGCATTAGCCAACTATGTGACAAAGGCTTCAAGATCAAGTTCACTAAAGATGAATGTTTGATAGAAGATGAAGTCACACATGAGGCTAAACTTAAAGGTAAAAGAGTAAATAATATTTTTATGATTTCCCTTAACGATTTGTCTTTGAAGGTTAAATGTCTCATGGCAAACAACAACGACTCATGGCTATGGCACAAAAGAATTGCTCATATTCATATGGAGCACTTAAACAAATTGATTAAGCATGACCTTGTTGTTGGGCTGCCTAAGATAAAGTTCATCAAAGAGAGACTTTGCGATGCATGTCAAAAGGGAAAGCAAACAAAATCAACTTTCAAATCCAAGAATGTGGTGTCCACTACTAGGCCACTACAATTGCTTCATATGGACTTGTTTGGCCCTTCAAGAACAAGAAGCTTCGGAGGTAATGTATACGCTCTAGTTATTGTTGATGACTTTTCTAGATATACTTGGACACTCTTTTTAGTGCATAAAAATGATGCATTCAAGGCGTTCAAGAAATATGCAAAGCAAATTCAAAATGAGAAGTCACTATCTATTGCTTTCATAAGAAGCGACCATGGTGGAGAATTCCAGAATTCCTCCTTTGAAGATTTCTGTGAAGAAAATGGAATATCACATAATTTCTCAGTACCAAGGACTCCTCAACAAAATGGAGTTGTAGAAAGGAAGAATAGGTCTCTTATTGAACTTGCAAGGACAATGCTTAGTGATTCAAACCTTCCAAAATACTTTTGGGCGGATGCGGTAAGCACGGCATGCTTTGTGAGCAATAGAGTTAATATTCGACCTATCTTGAAGAAAACTCCATATGAACTCTTTCGAGGAAGGAAACCAAATATCTCATTCTTTCATGTCTTTGGCTGCAAATGTTTTGTCCTTAACAACGACAAAGACAACCTTGAGGATACTGTTGTTTTAAATAATGATGATGAGATTCTAGATATTCCTCAAGAAGATGGCTCCAAGACCAACAATTAGAATCAATTGGAACAACAAGAAGAACAAATTCCAGATGAATCAAATATCAATGATCTTCCTAAGGAATGGAGAACCCATAAAGATCACCCTATTGATAAAATCATCGGTGACATAAGTCAAGGCGTTTCAACAAGATTGAATCTCAAAGATGCTTGCTTAAACATGGCGTTCGTCTCTCAAATCGAACCTTACAAAGTCGACGACGCATTAGGAGACGACCAATGGATAATTGCTATGCAAGAAGAATTAAATCAGTTCGAGAGAAATCAATTTTGGGAACTTGTTCCTAGACCAAGTGACAAACACATCATAGGTACAAGATGTGTGTTCAAAAATAAACTCGATGAGAACGGTATAATTGTCCAAAACAAAGCAAGATTGGTAGCTCAAGGATACAACCAAGAAGAGGGAATTGACTTTGAAGAAACTTTCGCTCCGGTTGCAAGGTTAGAAGCTATCCGTGTTTTACTTGCTTACGCTTGTTCATTGAATTTTTAGCTTTACCAAATGGACGTCAAAAGTGCATTCTTAAATGGCTACATCAATGAAGAAGTCTATGTCAAACAACCCCAGGGCTTTGAAGACTTCAAGAATCCTTCACATGTATTTAAGTTGAGAAAAGCTCTTTATGGCTTAAAACAAGCACCTAGAGCATGGTATGACAGACTCAGTACATTCTTATGCGAAAAAGGTTTCGAGAAAGGTAAAGTGGATAAGACCTTGTTCATAAAGAAGATAAAAGGTAACACTTTATTAGTACAAGTCTATGTCGATGATATTATATTTGGTTCAACTAACCAAGATTTGTGTGAAGAAT